TCTCCACACACACAGTGGAAACTTTCACACTTTTTACTGAACAATCCACATTTAAAAAAATTCTTTCAGGAGGAAATAGCCAATTTTTTTCAGGCAAATGACACCCCAGACATCACAAGAAGCACTCTATGGGAGGCGTGTAAAGCATATTTGAGGGGTCAGGTGATTTCATTTGCTTCCCGGCAGAAAAAAGTGGACACGGAAAGGATGGTCTGGCTCTCAGATCAACTAGTTGAAATGGGAGATAAGGCGGGCAAATTTCTTGCCCATCAGGCTAGAACTGCAGCTCTCTCGAGACTAATCCCCAGGATAAAATTGCCATCGGGAGCAGTGGTCACTGACCCCAAATTGGTAAATGATGTGTTTTTGAATTTCTATCCCGACTTGTACACGTCTGAATACTCACCTGAAATTTGGAAGAGCCACAACCCCCTGGAGATGTTCTCATATCCTAAAGTTGATAGCAATCTGGCTGACAAATTAGGCGCACCAATCACAGCGGCTGAAGTACAGGAGGCGATTGGGCAGCTACAAAATGGAAAATCCCCGGGCCCAGATGGGTTTGTGGTAGAATTCTACAAAGCATATTCAATCCTAATAACCCCAAATTTGGTTAACGTCTACAATGAATCCTTTAATAGTGGCAGATTGCCCCCAACCCTATCAGAAGCTAACATTTCGCTTTTATTAAAAAAAGACAAAGACCCCCTTGAATGTAGCAACTATAGGCCCATCTCACTTTTAAATGTGGACCAAAAGATTCTCGCCAAGGTCCTGGCCTCTCGTTTGCAACAAGCCCTACCTGCCCTAATTTCCACGGACCAGACTGGGTTCATGGCTGGAAGGAACTCTTCATCTAACACTAGGAGACTTCTCAACATCATTGGCTCACCCAACCCTGTCACACCTGAGGTGGTAATTTCTTTAGACGCTGAGAAAGTGTTCGACAGGGTTGAGTGGGAGTATTTGTACTACGTCCTTCCAAATTTGGTTTTAGCTCTGACTTTATTGCATGGATTAGACTGCTTTATGACTCTCCAACTGCCCATATCCTTACAAACGGTGTGAGGTCGCCCCCTTTCACCCTTTGTTGGGGTACCAGACAGGGATGCCCCCTCTCCCCCCTCCTGTTTGCTCTAGCCATAGATCCACTGGCCACCTGGCTTCGGGAGGAGGGGAGAGTCGAGGGTGTAATGGTAGATTCAGTTTCTTTGTTTCAGTCACTGCAGATGCCCAACCTCCCCCTTCCTAACACAAGATGCCAGGTCCTTTTGTGTTTTGTAGATTGTGATGTCTGGACTTGGCTTTGCACCTGAATGCAAGATCCTGCAGGACACCTCATATGTAAAACACACCAGCAGGGGGTCGGCCCCGATGCCTGCAGTGGGCAGAGGGGTGGGAAAGCACTTCCTGGAGGGCCAGACCCCTACAGCAGACAAAGGGGTGTGAAAGAGGTGGTCCTCAGGTATAAATGTTCAGATCTCCCCATGTTCGGGGTCTTTCTTCATCTTTGACCACTCGTGTGTTGATTGACCTTTTCTTTGCAAAGAAAATAAAACTGTCGGCCGACAGAAGTTCTCTATTTCATTCTTCACCAGAGAGCAGAGAAATTTCCACAACAAGGGCATCACCAGGAATGATGTCACCCATAAGCTGGCCCTGTACGCAGACGATTTGTTATTATATGTGTCAAACCCCGCGTCGTCCATCCCTGTTATTACAGACATTCTAACCCAATTCGGCAGATATTCTGGTTACAAATTGAATTTTAATAAAAGTGAACTTCTTCCTATCAATCCCCTGTCTAAGAAGATGCCACCGTCCTCTTTCCCATTGAGAGTCGTTACAGAGGGGTTTCGATATTTAGGCATATTCATCACTGCTTCTTTTAATGACCTTTTCAACAAATATTTTCGCCCTGTCATTGATAAGTGCAAGCTTGATTTGACTCACTGGTCCTCCCTCCCTCTTTCCCTATCCGGCAGAGTTAACCTGGTAAAGATAGTGATTCTACCTAAATTTCTCTACTTGTTCCAACATATTCCAATTTTTATCAGACGATCCTTCTTTCAGCTGCTAGATCAGACAATATCATAATTTCTGTGGTTGAATAAGCCCCCCCGTATCTGAAAAGCTGTCTTACAACTCCCCAAAAAGTTGGGTGGTCTCGCACTACCCAATCCTATCCAATACTATTGGGCATGCAACATTAACAAACTCATTAATTGGATCGACAGAGGAGCTGACACAGGCCCCTCTTGGGTTCTGATAGAGCTACGGTCCTCAAACTTTTCTTTACAGTCCCTCCTTACTGCGCGACTCCCCCTCAAGATTCATAATATCTCACAGAACCCTGTTGTTACCAACTCACGTAAAATTTTGATCCAATTTCACAAACACTACGGCTTGAACAAACCTTCAACTTTAGCACCGGTTGTTAAAAACCATTTATTCCCACCCTCCCTGTCAGACTCCACTTTCACTATCTGGCGTAACAAAGGTTTGTTACATGTCAAGCACCTTTACAAAGATAACATATTTACTAATTTTACAGAGCTTGCAGCCAGGTTTGAATTACCTCACTCTCATTTTTTCCGGTTTCTCCAATTACCCTCACTTCCCTAACCACCCACCCGGGTCTCTGATTGACTCCTTGCTCACCCTCGACCCTGTACAAAAGCGTTCCATCTCTGTGATCTATAATGCTATTGACTCCCTTAACCCTGACCCAACGACTCGTCTGAAACAGACCTGGGAGGAGGAGCTAGGAGCTCCAATTTCAGATAATCAATGGGACCAAATCCTTAAGCTAGTTCACACATCCTCTATATGTGCCGGGCACAGTTTATTACAATGTAAAGTTCTTTTCAGAGTGCATTACACAAACGCTCAACTGGTGAAGATTTATCCAGGCACCAGTGACAGTTGTAACAGATGTAAGCAGTCACCTGCTAATCACACACACGTTTTGGTCCTGCCTGAAACTCACTGGCTTTTGGGGCCAAATATTTGATACACTCGCAACAGTGCTTGATATGGACCTTAACCCTGAGCCTTGCACGGCCCTGTTTGGCTCCCCTCCACTTACTACACCTCAACTCCCTGCGTCAAAGCGCCGGGTATTGGCCTTTATAACTCCCAGGCCAAGCGTCTTATTTTGTTTAAATGGAAACATGTTCTTCCACCTTCATACAATAGCTGGCTTAGAGAGGTCCTAACTCATATCAAGTTTGAGAAGGTTAGAGTTTCACTGGTGGGTTCTGATAATGCTTTTAACAAAACCTGGCAGCCCTTCTTAGAGTACTTAGACAGAACCACTAATAATGTTTTTTTGGTTAATAGTGGTTCATAGGAACTGTTCTGGCTCAGTTTAAGTTTGTTGTTGCTTTCAACATACATTGTGTAGGACAACCAACTGCTAATTTTCTTATAAGATTTCTTGCATACACTGTGTGAATTGTTGTTGTATGTGAACAAAAAACCAAATAAAAAGATTTATTAACAAAAAAAAAAAAAGATGTTGCTGAATGAACGCCGTGCTTTTTGTGACTGTACATTGAAGGGCGTGTCCGTGGCGTGCCGTCAAAGTCGGCCACTGTGAGTGCGAGGACCCGCCCAATGCTGCTTGCAGCTTTAACTAGGGACCGAGCCAGTGTCAAATGGAAAGTCCCTATTGTTTTTGCTCGATTTCTTCTTACCTATTATTTTTATCCCCCTTCGACTGCATTTTTGACCCCCTGAACATATACGAAAACTCAATTTTATTTGGCAAAGTTGTCAGGCCTGGTGAAAATGGAATATTCTATGCGTCGCTGTTCGGGTCGGCCACTAGGTAGCGCTACTATCATAAAAGGTGCGTTTAGGCTAATAACCTCTGCATAATTTGTCGCACATTCAAAAACCTTATATCCACACGTTCTTTGAATGGAGCTGAATCTCCCCATATAGGCCCCGCCCACCTCCGCCTATATATTTTTTTCATTAGAGTGCAAAATGTCCTTAAACTACTTTTTTGTGTTCCTCCTACATGCCTCGCACAAAATATTTCACGTAGCACCTGGGGACCGTCCTAATAAAAAAGTATTTTGAAGAATTTTGATATTTCAAAAAATAAGCACGTTATAAACAGGGGTGGACTGGGACAAAAATTCAGCCCTGGCATTTTCTGTCCAGACCAGCCCACTACATTATCAGCAGACACTACATAGAAGTCCACAAATCTCGCAGCATCTCCTCTCATGCATACTACAAAGGAGAGTCATATTCCTTGATAGCAGTTAACAAATAAAGCACGTAACTATGAACTCAAGGACTAAAATTGACAGCTATAGCAATCAATCAATCAGTCTTTATAGTGTCAAATCACAACAGACGTTATGGTAAATGGACCTGTACTTGTATAGCGCCTTTCTAGTCTTCCGACCACTCAAAGCGCTTTTACACTATGTGCCACATTCACCGTTTCACACACATTCACTCAGTGATGGCAAAGTCCATCGAACAGAAACTGACATTCATACACATTCACACACCGATGCACGGCATCGGGAGCAATTCGGGGTTCAGTATCTTGCTCAAGGATACTTCGACATGTGGCACCAGGAGCTGGGGATCAAACCCACAACCTTCCGATTAAGGAACGACCCGCTCTGCCTCTGAGCCACAGCCGCCATGACTAGGGGTGGGATGAGACTAACGGGAAGAACCCTCATGCTACCCTTTCAGTTTTTAGTCTGTGACTGTGAAAATCTTTTGGTGTAAGCCCAGCATTAGTTAAAACCAGGCTCGGACAATAATAACAAAATATCCTGACAAATAATCTAAATAGAAACATATTACAGACAGTAGTAGCATTAGAGCTGAAACTCATTTGTTTTAACAGTGACTCAGTCATTATGAAACCATAAATAGAGAAAAGAATTATCAGTAGCTGTGGAAAAAGTCTAAGACATGAATTACAGGTCTGAATAGATATGCATTCTCATATACGTGTATGTGCACATGTATATGTTTCCCTACTTCCTCGTCCACATCCAGCCAGCTCCACTCCTCACCAAATTCATGACCTGCAAGGAACAGCAAACACAACTTGTACTCTATCTGTGTACTGACAAGTATATGTAGCCATGTAGCCTTTTTGTGATGTAGTGACACTTAGTGAACAAATGTATCCGTCATGAAGGATGACTTAAGTCTCAAAAGAGCCCTAAGGCCTACCTGCATAACTGTTAATTGAACTTAAAATATATGCAGATGTTTGAAATTAAAATCATCAATATGAAAATCTTCAACCAGGAAATAATCATAATCAAACCTTTTGTTTCAATCTGAGACAAAACAAGTTGCATAATAAACTCACAAAGTCAAGACGAAGCTCTCTCTCTCTCTCTCTCTCTCTCTCTCTCTCTCTCTCAGGCATCATAGAAGAACTTCTAGCAGGTCAGGAAAACCTGTTTGACAGGAGATGATGGTATATAGTATGTTTCTTCACATAAACCTTTAAACATACACATATTGCATTCCTCTCACCACATGAAATAAGCTCAGGACCCAAAAAGTGGCCCAGTGAATGATGGAGGAGACAAAGCAGGTCCTCAAAAGGGGACAGAAGGAAAACAACTTCTTAGGCTCTCATACATAGGGTGGTCAACCTAAAAGAGACATGGAAACATTATTAAGTCATCATCACAAATCAAGTATGAATTCATATCACATTATAAGACACATGACATACTCAACCAATCAGAGACGTCTCAGTAGCCAAAAAGTGGTGAAGTGGAGGCAGAGAGAGAGCAAGTCCTTGAAAATGGACGGAGGGGGAACAACTCCTCAGGCTCTCACATGTCAAGTGGTCAACCTGAGAGGGACATGGAGACATTATTAAGTCTCTAACCATAACCCTATGAATTGAAAGATTACAATTCAATGGCAAATATTGCAAATTAAACTCATTATTTCCTATAGGTTTACTTGTATTTTGTGCTAAAATTCAAAGTATTCAATTCAATTAAATTCAATACAGCTTGATTCTGCATCTCTATTTACAGCTCATTAGTCCATGTCAATGTTTACTGTTGCTATGGCAACAAGAGACTGCTGACATTAGCAGCTGTTAGCTAGCTTAGCTAACGTTATAGCATCTGAACAATAATAACCCATAATATCACATTCGACATATTTAAACAAAATCAACCACAACTACCAACAGTCACAGCCCTTCAACTCTGGGCTAATATGTTGTCACAAGTATGCAGTTAATGAGGTCCCATCACACTCAATGGAAAAATGGTTTCTACTTTGTTTTGGACTCCAAATGTAGCCTAGCCAGCCTCAGGCTAACGTTACTCACCATGTCTGCCTCCACTCGCTCGTCTCCCGGCGCAGCAGCACCTGCTGGGGTGGTGACCCCGGCACCAAATAGGTCTGTCAATGTCCAACATTTAGCAGCTTCCACCTCCAGAGACTTCAGCTTTTTAAGTCGCAGTGTTTCCGCGCCACCCGGGCGTTTCTTACGGTTATCCATCTTCAGCTCAGCAGCAGCCCGTCCCGCCACTCCGGCCCATGCCATGAGGTCCCGCCCACCCTGGTTTGTGTCGTGATTGACAGCCCTGTCAGGGCTCTCTGAGCCTGTCAGCCTATGATTGATTGGCGATGACAAACGTAGACCAATAATATGTGTCGATGCTGGCAACACACTGCTAGCCCTCTGTAGCCAATTGGCCGGCCCAATTGGAGGGAATTTAGAGAGAGAAAAAAAAAAAAAAAACATAGCGGACCGAACCGGACCGGCCCACATTGGGTCACGGCCCACATTGGGTCACGGCCCACATTGGGTCAACGGCCCACCGGGACGATGCCCGGTATGCCAGATGGCCAGTCCACCCCTGATTCAGACTCTCATTCCATATATTCAAGTTTCATTCCATATATTCATTAAATTAGTTCAAACTCAAACGAAAGCCTTAAACAGTTTAAATTTACTAACTGACGTATGATGAAAAACAATTTACAATTAATTGATTATCAAAATTGTAGCCAATCAATTTTGGGGCTCACATTTGTGTAATGATATGAAGGTCTCTTCGTCGTCCTCGTCGCCAAGTGCTTGCTCATGGTCGTACTGTTGGGTCTCTGTAATTAATGGTATAAAGAGTTCGGTCTAGACCTGCTCTATTTGAAAAGTATCCTGAGATAACTTCTGTTATGAATTGGCGCTGTACAAATAAGTTGAATTGAATTGAATTAAACTTAAAGAAAATGAGACAATGGAACAAACTGGAATTATATCACCAATACTTAAAATACTGCACAAATTTAAGTGCACTTAAAATACGTGTGTTAAAGTGCCCTCTTGGGAGCCAAAACACCTGCTACAGTGCCCCCTTGGAAGCCAAAACGCGTGCTAAAGTGCCCCCTTGGGAGCCGCCCCTGCTCTTCAATAAGTCTGAATGAAAATGTTTAACTTAAAGGATCAGCCCACCCATATCACAACCAAACATATTTATCTGCTGAGGCTTTAACATTGTACCACAAACCTGGTACAATGGATGTAAATTGAATTTTATTCATGGTGCTTTGATATCTGTAAACCAGGGCTAATGAAACAAAAACTAATACTGTATCGACTGTAACTGTAACCTGACTGCACTAGATGGTTTGTTACACGGTGTCATCTGGGAAGCCGCCATTTGGAATCGGGCAAGCACTTTAAAAAAAAACACTCGCCAGGCGGTTGGATGAACCATCTATCAACATCTATCATGAGGGAACTTCAACCAATCAGATCAACGAACCATATAATGTAGTTAAACTTTCAAACTGAAGCCAGTTGGCTGAAGAGATATTCCTTTAATGAGGAAATACTCTCCAGCTCTTATTAAGCAGATGCTAGCAGCAGCTACGCTAACCTCTTTAAGAGCCCTCTTTGTTTTTGAGCAAATGGTCACTTCTCACACACGTCATCAAAGACACCTAGAGTTCAACCATGCTAGCTCATGCTGTAGCTGCCAGTAGTTTAAAGCCTGGCAAGATGGATTCTTATATGATTTTATAACCTTGCAAGTCCAGCTGCCTCTCAAGTTTAATGTACTGAATTTGAACTGGTTGCACTAGTGTTAAAATTTGATGATGTGTAACGAAGTAATCCAAGCTCAAAGGTCCACTTTCTAATTTTACTGAGTTTTAACGCCAGGCCAACTTACGTATGCAAAAGTTACGTCATTAACCTTTACTCCTTACTCTTTTCAAAAGTAATTTTATCACTTTACTTATTACTCCCTGCCAGCAGTAATTAGTTACACGACTAGTTATATTACTTTTCTCAAAACATTGGTAACTTTGTCCAAAATTACCAGCATAGTTTGTTATCAAAGTAATGCAATATTTCCAGTTGCTGAATGTAAGCGTTTCTATCTTCCAAATTAGTTTCCTCCACGATTAAAAAAAGTAATGAATGCATTTTATGGATTGTTGGATTTTACATCAGTAGGGGTACAAAAATAATGTTGTAAACAAAATTTTACAAAAAAATGTATTGGCAATTACCCTATTTACTTGGTAAAGTAATATTATTACTAGTAATGAGTTACTGGTCAACACTGCTCTTCAGGCACTTTTACAACATTTAACAGAGCCGTCAAAGCCTGTGCCTTTTTGTGATGACCAAAACACTGACAGATTATCATGCGCTTGTCTTATCATGTTTTGAACAAATTCAAATGTCCAGTCAGATGTGGCTCTCTTGTTGTGGCAGTCATCAATCATGCTGATTTTGACCGAGCAGATGCTGTCTATTTGGACTGATCGGTCCCATGAGAGACATCACTGGTTGATGATCTTCAGGCAGGATTATTTTTATAATTTGTGCAATTATTACTCTTTCAATATTCAATTCAATTCAATTCAATTTTATTTGTATAGCGCCAATTCATAACAGAAGTTATCTCAGGACACTTTTCAAATAGAGCAGGTCTAGACCGAACTCTTTAAAACATTAATTACAGAGACCCAACAGTACCACCATGAGCAAGCACTTGGCGACAAGGGCAAGGAAAAACTGCCTGTTAAAAGGCAGAAACCTAGGACAGACCCTTCGGCTCTAGGTGGGTGGTTGGGGGTGAGAGAGAGAGAGAGAGAGAGAGAGAGAGAGAGAGAGAGCAAGAGACAGACAGACAGACAGACAGACAGATGCACAGCAACAACAGTATTGGCAATGGCAATCTAGCAGGACCATGGCAGGAGGCTCCACCAGGATCGATAAGAACCTGGGAGACGAGAAAGCACAAGAACTCCGGGGAAGAAGTGAAGTTAGTAACATGCATTAATGGGACATGAATGAGTGCAGAAAGAGAAAGGAAGGGAGGAGCTCAGTGCACCATGGGAAATCCCCCGATAGTCTAGGCCTATAGCAGCATAACTAAGGGATGGTTCAGGACTCACCTGATCCAGCCCTAACTATAAGCTTTATCAAAGAGGAATGTCTTAAGCCTACTCTTGAATGTGGTGAGGGTGTCTGCCTCCCGAACCACAACTGGAAGCTGGTTCCACAGGAGAGGAGCTTGGTAACTGAAGGCTCTGGCTCCTGTTCTACTTTTAGAGACTATAGGAACCACAAGTAGCCCAGCATTCAGAGAACGTAGTGTTCTAGAGGGGTAATAGGGTACTATGAGCTCTTTAAGATATGAAGGGGCCTGACCATGAAGAGCTTTATAGGTGAGGAGGAGGATTTTAAATTCTATTCTACATTTTACAGGGAGCCAGTGCAGAGAAGCTAGTACAGGAGAGATGTGATCTCTTTTTTCTAGTTCCTGTCAGTACTCGTGCTGCAGCGTTCTGAATTAATTGGAGCGTTTAAATTGGAGCGTTTTAATGGACTTATATGTAATGTTTCCATTACATAAGATTTGTGTTTGACCATGAGTTTTTTTTTGTTCCATTATTAAAGCTCATTTCAGCATGTACCCTCAAGAGAATTTCATGTATATTTTTATGAACACATGCAACTCACCCAGAGAAGCGCCTCTGAATGGATGTTTTTTTTGTTCCTGATACAACAACCCTTTTCGATTTGCAAAAGGATCAAGGCTGTGTGGCCTTTGTAAAAAGCTAGCGTGGAGGGGTTTTATTCAGCGTGAGTGTAGGATTGACATTGGATGTGTGGAAGTGGAGCGTGCTTCAAGGTCACGCTGATGGAGGTGGCACAGCCTTGGCCATGCACTCACAATACCGACCTGTTTAAATGGAGATGTGTGAGAGACTCGCTTGCCGAAAGAAAAGGTCTTAATGAAGTTGGGAGATTTTCCATTCTACTCCATTTTCTATGCCACCGTGTCAGTAATCGCCCACTGGTGCGAGGATCAGAGTGGGGGGAGTCATTTCCACACATTGTAGCTGCTGATGTGCTGGATTTGCGGAGCAGTTCAGATGTGATGTCAGGCCTCTCTGCCCACTACTTAGTACTCCACCTTATTCTGATGCTTGTACACACACAACATGTACAACCAGGTTTTATGCAGTTGATAAATAGTTGAGTGTTTTAAAATCAATCATAAATATATGTACAATGAAACTACAATGAAACTGAAGCAGTTTAGCCTTCCTTCATGCATTTTTCACATGTGATAGCTCAGACACCACTGTTTTAAATTTATTTAAAGGTCCAGTGAGTAACATTTAGGTGGCTCTATTCTCTTTTCTTAGGAATCGTTGTGGTTTTTTGTACCATAGCATCTCCTCACTGATTTACTATGTTTACAAATTACAATTGTGGGCCAGAATGAGGATTTGCTACTGATGCTACTGGCTAAGCAAAGGCCTGTTACTTCATTTAAGGTAAAACATTCCCCCCACAAGGTGGAATGGAAAGAGGATCTTTAATTATGTTTTCATTAGCGTATAATTACCTGAATATTGGAATAACCGTTAACTTAGAATCAGCTGTTTAGCTACAGACGCTGCAGGTCGTCTTCTATTGAGTCCATGGGCGGCTGTGGTGCAGAGGCAGAGCGGGTCATCCCCTAATCGTTGTTAGTTCGATCCCCGGCTCAGCCTGCCACATGTCGGAGTATCTCTTGAGCCCCAAATTGCTCCCGATGCTGTGAATGTGTATGAATGTGTTAGTTTCTGTTATATGGGCTTTGCCATCGCTGAGTGAATGTGTGTGAAAGGGCGAATGTAGTGTAAAAGTGCTTTAAGTGGTCGAAGACTAGAAAGGCGCTATAAAAGTACAGGTCCATTTACCGTTTACCATGTTGAACCACCATGTTTCTACAGAACAGACAAACTGGCTCGAGATAGGGCCTTTCAAATTTTGCGAGTAATTAAATTTTTCAGTGTTATTTGTATAGCGCCAATTCATAACAGAAGTAGGTCTAGACCGAACTCAGTAGTTTCTCCTGCAAACTTCACAGACGTAGGCTAAGTGGTGTTCAGTTGCAATATGCAACTTAACCGCTAGAGGCCACTAAATTCTTTAAAAACTGGTCCTTTAAACCTCCAGTGTGTAACATTTAAGAGGCTCTATTGGCATAAATAAAATGTGCCGAGAAAGATAAGATGCTTTGAGTTGGAAGCTTGAAGATAGTTCATTGTCTCATTCCCAGTGTCTCAAAGCCTCTGAATTTGACGCCCTTGGAATGAGAATCAACAATCAAATATCTTTCTTGGCTCTGATTGTTTGTTTTAGTCCAGGCCTGATGGATTCTTGCAAATGCCATTAAGAGCACTAGGAGGTAGATTACATAGAAGCGCCGCAGAGAGTGGCAGCTTGACGCAACAGCTCCTGCGCCGCCTCTTATTTTCGCGGCTTAAATCTTACTAGTTCTTTATTCCTTCTAAATAGCACTGTGTTTATTGTTGTAAACAGACCTCCAGTGTTGGTTGTTAATTTTTTTTACTTTTTTAGCCGTAGTTGAACTAAAATATAAACAATGTGTAGGAATGTGGACACAACAACCACCACACAACAAAACACCGGAGGTTATTCACGTGAGGACTTCCTATGGTATCGGGATTTACGTGTCGCATGCCAGAGGGAGATCCCGGTGGAGTTAAGGAGACGAAGGAGAGGAACCACAGCAGGCACGTTGGTGAGAACCAAGAAGACAGAGAGGCGGTGGAAATACAAGCCATGTCTTCCCTTGGTTGTCATGGGAAACGTACGCTCGCTGAACAACAAGACGGACGAGCTCTCGGCCCTGGTCAACGGACAGTGAGAGTATCGGGAGTGCAGCATAGTATGTCTGACGGAGACATGGCTGAATGACATTACACCAGACTGTTCAGTGGAACTAGCCGGCTTTTCACTTGTTGGGGCAGACAGGAAGAAACAGAGCGGTAAAAAGTCATGAGGAGGGCTCGCTGTCTTTGTGAACTCTAAATGGTGTAACCCTGGACATGCTGTCAAGAAGGCAGAAATCTGCACACCTGATATTGAACTTCTGGCCATAGGGTTAAGGCCATACTATCTGCCCCGTGAGTTTACGGCCACTATTGTCGTCACTGGTTACATTCCTCCATTGGCAGTAGCGGCGCACGCCTGTGACGTCATCCACTTCACCGTTGCAGACCTGCAGACACGTCATCCCAGGGAAGCTGAGAGACATCATGGACAACCCCTCTCATCCTCTCCACGCTGAGCTGAGGCAGCTCAGGAGCATCTTCAGCTACAGACTGACCCAGCCCCGAGCCTCAAAGCGGTTTGGAGGCTCATTTGTACCAACTGCCATCAGACTCCACAACGCCACAGCTCCCAGTTCCTCCAACCCCAGCAGATAAAGACTGGTTTAGAACTCCTACCTACAACGCACAAACCTTTTACACTATTTATATTTAATTTCCACTTTAGTAGTTTGGTAGTTTTAGTTTAGTTTTAGTATTTTAGTTTAGTTTACTTTAAGTTTAATTTTCTGCTTTTAATTTAGTATTAAAAGCAATAAAAGTTTAGTTTAATTTTGGACTCCATGTCCTACTTGAACAACAAATAGTGTATATACTTTAATTTATAGTTTTTATATCTTCTAATATTAATAATATTAGCAATATTTTTACTGTGATATTCTATTTTATTTCTATTCTATTTCTATTCCATTCTTTGATTTCTGTTTTTGCGCTGCTTTGCCCTATTGCTGCTGTGTCAAATTTGTCCTTATGGGGATAAATAAAGGAATTATCTTATCTTATCTTAGGAGGAGCCAGAGGAACCTTTTTTTTTTTTTTTTTACAGATTATCTGTCTCATGTACTACTGTCTGAAAATGTTCAGCAATAATGACAAAAAAGTATTTTTATTAAAGTTACCTACTGCATCCTTAAACAAGGAGACTCTAACAGACTACTATTTTACATTATAAACTAAACTTACTAAGTTACTTGTCTAAAAACAACTCCACATTAAAACTTCAAGCGATGGGATTAAGCAGCTGTGAAGACAGTATTATTTCAGTTTTAATTCATCATGCACTTATCAAAGAGTCCTTGTCAAGCTTGAACTGTCATTGGTGGACACTTCTTTTATTCCCTAAAGAACTTAAAACTGAAGACACCTGATTAAAAATGTAAGGCATGTCCTTTTACATTTTCATCCTCTTGACAACTGATATGATAAATTTGAATAAGCAAATTCTGCCTATTACAGAAAACTTGACAGAACCAAAGCGTCATTAGAATTTGCATTTAGAAGTATGATAATAGGGAATAAAAGGCATAAAATGAACAACTCATCAGATACTATCACAAGTAATGTGTCTCTAATGTCCCTGAAAGCTTAAATCTTTTCAGCAGCAAGTGTTAAGCTATAGAGGTGATGAGAAAAAGAGGGCTTTTCTGTGGGTGATAAAGAATTCACACCAATCATACCATCTATCACACTCGACATAAGGTCAAGGTCTGGCAAACAACTGATGAAGCGACAGGGGGATTTTTCCTTCAAATACAATATGTCGCCTATTGCAGCATGTTCTTAAAATAACTGCAATAATTACGCCATACTTGCAGCTGTAAAAAATATCTTTTTTCACAATGCCTGCCTGAGCAGCACGTGACAGCTACATTAGTGACTGACTAAGTCTGGCACGCACACG